TTTTCTGACTCGGAGTCGGGTCGAGTCAGCAAATCGAAAATGCTATTTGTTTTTCCGAGCGCCGAGTTAAAAAAACAACTCGGTCGCCGAGCTCCGGACACTCGGGTTCCAAGAAATGACGCAGTGCCGTAAACACAACTCGGTACATACAATCTAACGTACGGAATTATTCGGCGCGAGTCAGTCGAGCGAAGCGGACGATACCGCGCGTCTTTGCATCGCTTCTCGTAACGCGATTATTTCCTATGGGAATCTCGATCGTCTCGTACCAAGAGTTAACATTTACCAATCGCGTTTGAGTAAATTTATCGCAATCCGTAATCTTGTCGTACTGCGGTGATTTGCCGAGAAGAATATTGCGCGTAATTACATTAATTTACAATTTTATAAATTTTAATCTGTACAAATGTAACGTCGCTTTTTATACTATGTATAATTACAACGTTAATATTTTGTTGAACTATACATATATTTGATACACTTCTATATCACAACAGTAAGCAAGACTACACAAATCTGGATGCAATCGCTATTAGCTTAGTATAATCTGCTCCTTTGGTGTGGGTGTTTTTCTTCATTATCGTCCGGAGTATGTGTGGAATTGGCACCTGTATTCTTGTACCTAGAGGTGTCCCGTTGTCGTCTATCAGCACCAGATTGTTGCTGTCAAACTTGGGAACTTTCGGGGACTGATTCTGCTTCAATCCAACCAGTATGCCTTTCTTCTTTTCGCCCCTGATCGCGACTAAAATTCTGTCGCCTGAAAACACTCGTACAGCAACGCGTTGAGATAAAATGTATAGAAGGGGAGATTTTCTCCACGTAGTCATTCATTCGTTTTCTTACCGATGTATCCCACCCCGACTTTATTGTAGACGTGTATGCATCGCGGTGGTCTACCCTCCATCATAGCTTGCCTTCCTATCTCGCTGTTGTCCACTACCCTCAGTCGGCTCAATTTGATTATTTGACCAACAGGAGTTGACGTGGAAATGTTCCTGCTTATAGCATTCAACAGTGCGGCGGGTGGTGACAACATTGTCGTTTCAATCTCTCCCTGAGACACTCTGGAACATCAATTAATATTCACGTTATTCAGATTCGGCTGTGTATGTAATATTGCACCATAATCCACACAATATAACCTAACCTGTTTAGCGGAAAGGAGGTAAACAACGTTACAAATAACTATTTGAACGCGAATTATTCTCCCTCGGATATTTTTAATAACACTTACCGTTGAGTAAAGATCCTCCTTTAACACGATTGTAATTTAGTTCAAGTCAATTAAAGTCAAGCCAGGGTCTCTAAACGAAATCACTGCAGAAGGCACGGACGACACCTCGGGGTGTCGACTTTGCGACTCGCATTGTAGACCCGGCATTACATAACCTGAATCTCGCCTGCAGTCGCGCTGGTCTCGTGCTAACCTAAAAGTCACCGACGGAGAAACAGGATTGTCTCCGCGCTGTAAAGTTTCAAGGAAGGATTGAAGACGCTCTCGCCTCAGTGTGTAAAGTCGAGAGAAAGAAGGAGAGACCGTGTAACATACAGAGCGGAAATTTTGCGTAGCCATGAACAAAATACACCGTCTCGAAGCCTTAATGCACTTGCGAGCTCTCGGTGTTCCGCGAGCGAATTCGAGATGGTTAAGGACGACCAGGGTAACGCGGAAGGAGAACGCGGAAGCACCGGAGTTCGAGGCGAAGTTGAGCGGCTTCGCGCGAAGTTACGACAAGTTCTCGCGCATCGACGAGAAACCGCCGGAAACGGTGCAGTCGTTTGCCTCTTTGGTCCGCAACTCCAAGTTCGTCGATGTAAATACCTACGCTTCACCGGGCGTACAATCACGCGGCGCATTTGTCGACCGCTCTTGATTGAATGTGTGACTTTACTTTCCAGCTGGGCGATCCCGAAGGGAAGGTGGTGACCGGTGAGATCTTTCACGTGGTTGGCGACGACCTGTACATCGATTTTGGATGGAAGTTTAACTGCATTTGTCGGAAACCCGTCAAGAACGGAGAGTACGTGTGACCAAAGTCCTTTGTTTCCCGAAATATACTTTGCTTAATGATATCCCCGGTGAAAATGTTTTCTCAGAATCTTTGTATGAATTGGTACACTTTTCAGAAATACTGAGAAAGTCCACTTCTTTTCTTAGAATCTTTCAGGCATGTGAATATTCTGAGATGTAAACGTTTGAAATTATAGAGAATGAGAACTTTCAGAATATGTCAGAATTCGTACGTATGACAAATTCCAGAAAAGATATAAACTTCTAAGTGTTTCAATTTGTATAAAAAGTCTGAAAATTTTTGTAAAAAATTATACAATTATTGAAAAATCCTGAGAAAAATATTCACCAAGGATTTGCTGTGTTTCGCTATTGCGAACATTAGATTGTATGAATATTATTCATTAATTTTGTTTTTTGCTTTAGATACTATGTGAGAGGCTCTAAAGTTCGGTTAAAGGTAAAGGACTTGGAACTGTCCTCCAGGTTCTTAGGAGCCGTCACGGATATAACTCTGCTGGAAGCCGATTGCGTTTTGATCGGCTTAATATCGTCGCCATTACAAGCGGCAGAGCAAAAGCCGAAGACGATTGGAAAACCGAGAATACTGGATCTTTTGTAATATTTATGGTAAATTAACTGTATAATGTGTACATGCCGACATCTTTAAAACACTATTTTATATCACACGTGCACGGAAAAGTGCCTCTTTTTTGACAGTTTTTCGTGCTCAAAATAGACATTTGCCGACACAATACAGTTTGCACGCAACATGGCGTCAACTGTGCGGAAAAAGCCGTACGGTAAAATTATTACCGCACACTTTAGCGCTGTTTTTGTTTTTATCTCCCAGCACAATTGCCGATCTCTCTTCCACACGCCGTCTTCGACAGATGACAGGTTAGCCTCAAAGTTTTTACACGTAACTGTCAAAAAAGTGGTACTTTTCCGTGCACTTATAATATAAAGTGATATTCGTACATCTTTGATTGTAATTTCTAGTTTCGTTTGAATTTCTAACTTTTTGAGGACACAATTGCTGCTCTGAGAATAATTCGTAGCTAGAAATATATAAGTATCCTGCTATGTTTCCTGTTATGGTATGGTACTTTAGTGAATTGGTAGAATGTCATCTTTAATAAATATACATCTTTCTTATATCACGATCCATGTAAAGGTAATATATGTAAGACAATATATAATCTGTATTATTAGGTCATCCCATAAGTAATGCAATATAGAAAGGAACGTAATTTATTCTTCAGCTTCTTAAAACCGGCAGACTTGTCGGTCTATTTGAAGAGAATTGAAAATTTAAGGTTAAGGGGTTAAACTTTCGGTTTCATTTCAAGAGAGATTTATGTATTATTTCTACAAGAGATAACTTTCGCGTAGAAGAGATTTGCAGCGTACGTTCTCCGCAATTCGAAAACGGCGGGTACCGGTCGGTAACGGCGTATCGGCGCGGCGCGCCGCGATTGGTAAACGCGCGTCCCACGTGACCGCGGCATGGAAAGCCTGAAAGTGACGCTCGCGCCGCTCGCGAGAGGTCAGTTACGCTCGAGCTTCCCTCCGGTCGGGACGTGTGTGAGTGTGTGCGCGACGTCTTCCCTCGCGTACTCCGCCGCGCGTTTCCCTTTCGCTCTCGTTGTCCACCGCGCGAGGGAAAAACGTGCGAGAGCGGGGCCCGCGTTAGGTGGACACGAGTGGTGCGGCGACAGTGTTCCGTGGCGCGCGATCCGCGTCGCCCGGTCGTCCGCGGTCTTCGCCTGCTACGCCCGACCGAGCCGAGGGACCGATAACCTAATTCGCCGACGGTTACGTGGACGGTTGCTCAATTCGCCCGTAGGACACGTCGGTGAGTACCGTGCTGCTTGGCCTGCCGTTGTGCCGCCCTCGCGAGCGCGACGAGGCGTCGCACACGTCGCAATGGACTCGCTCTTTCCACGTTCCCTCTTCTGCGCGTCACCTTGTCCGCGATGCCTCGACATCGCGAGCGGGAATCGCGCAGGCAGCCCGACGTTGCGTGACTCTTGTCAAGGAGTCGCACGGATCCCCCTTCAAACGCGCCGAACGGCCACGCGAATTATTTGCGGACGGTCTAGCCGCGGGCTCTCGCGAGTGTCATTTTGTCTGTCGGTGAGTTGCCACAGTTGATTGCGTCCCCGATCGGAATTCACTTCGTGTATACAAGTTGTGTATAAATAGGTGCATTTTTTGTTGTTGTTAACGACCTGGTTGAATTTTATTAAGAGATTGAAAGCTGAGAGAAAAACCCTTTGGCACGTTTGACTGGCAATTCCGGTGACTCGCGTTAAAAAGTCAGATAATGAGCCAGATAACTGTCAGGCTGGTATTACATTTGTTGTACGGCAAGTTTTTCATGCGTGTTGATTGATTTTATGATAACAAGGTTCTCGAGTGTCTCCACGGTTTTTTATCTTGCAGCCAATCAACGTACTAAAAAAATGTGTCGTGCGACGAACGCAACACAAGCTTTGCGTAAGATAATAAACTTGCCGTTTAATTTTGTTTCTTCTTACGAAATTGTACAAAATCAATAATGTATGTGTGCTTTTTGTTGCCAAATTTGTGGTGAAAATGTCGTTAGAGTTTTTTAATTTTGTAGGATTTTACGCGGAATACGTTTAAATTAATTAAATTTAAACGAGACTGGTTTTTTAAGTAAATTATATGCACGTAACGGATCAGTGCGATTTCGCGCCATTGTGCCATTACAAAACGAGCAGTGGGAGTATTCACTTTTGTTATATCCGTGTTGCACACAGTTTTATTGTCCCGCTCTTATCCGATCAGAAACGAGCGTGCGATCGTAGAAGCTTTGGGGGAAATGACGACGCGGAAACGTTTCAGCGAAAGGTGATCTATCTGCAAGGGGGCTCCGTAATAAGCTCGGGTTACGTTTCGTACGTACGTTTGCACTCGCTTTCGTCAATTAAAAACGTATTACGATTTCACGAAGGCTTCTCTTCAAATCCGACCCTGTTACCCGCTAATGGTGTGTGCGTAGTTTTTTTCGTTTCCTGGCGGAAGCGTTGAATAACGCGGAAACGGCGGTGATTGAAACAATCCACTTGGCTTGGCAAAAATGCAATACGCGAGAGAAAGAAATTATCCTTTTGCAAGAGAGTACCACGCGAGATAGTGACTCCCTAACACAATTGCAATTACCTGCTCGCGAGATAATTATTCTGCAAAACAAATAAGCCAATACACCGAAGGCAACTATTTCAAGTTTGGTGGGCAATTATTTTATTTAGCAAAATTTTAAGGACTCGACACACTTTGGCGTGCATTCACTGAAGAAGCGTTAATCAATACAAAGTAAAAAAAGAGAAACGCAACTCGGTCATAAAAGGGTTAAAGATATTGCGTGGGGTCACATTATCGTCGTTTTAACTGAATTATCTTTGCTCGACGGTCGGTCGGTCTCTCTTTAAGTTGAAGAAGCGTACAGGCGAGACGGTGGGAAATCTCCGAGAGACTTTTTATGTAGCTGCGTCGATTATCGCGTCGCATTAATGTAGCTCACGTTTTCAACGTGCGGCAGCGAATTCGCGCACCGACTGTAAGGCTAAGATACTGTAATCTCTCTGCCCGAAGTGTAATAGTACGAGGCACAGCAGCATGCACTCGGGGATCCTAAGCTTTCTATTTAGGCTCCGCTGGCAAATATGTATCGCGCCTCTGTTACTTAACATCCGCCCAACTTTCTATTCGCGCGCCAGCGTATATAAATGTGTGCTCGCTCGTTATTTACATTTAAATGTTATTGCGAGTCTCGTTACGTGGCCCTGCGCGCGCGATCTTTTATCTTAACGTCCAATTTCCCATGTTTTCCACGCCAGATAGTCGCCTGATGTAATGCACCTAAGTCCCACTGTGGATCCCGAAAATTGAGGCATCTGAGACCTCCTGTACGTATTTGTGTCAGCGGACTGTCGTGTCACACTTTCTTCTTGTCCAAAAATGCGGAACCTTCTCTCTCCCGTACATATTCCCGTAATTGTTTAAAGCGCAATTTTCGTTCGTCGTTAACGTTGCTTGGAGTTGAACGTTTGCCGACGTTTAAATGTTACGTTATAAAATGCTGTAAGAAGAATATTATTTTCTCTAACATTTAAAGGCAATTAACATTGCGAGCATTGCGTGGAAAGATTTGTTAGTCTTGAATAATACATTTTCCCAGCCGCGTAATAATGATTGCAATTATACTTAATTTAAGCGATGGCTCGACCTTGTTATACATAAAAACGTGTGTATAAAATCGATGATAAAATACCGCAAAGCATACGTTATTTCCTTATTTACAAACCCGTGAAACTCGGTTCGAACGTATCGACGTTAATTTGATATACGTACGGGACAAAAAAGGAAGAAATGTACTTTAATCATATGCACTGCGAGGTAATTGTGATGGACGACCATGACATTTGACAATTTCTGGCGATTTATGCGAACAAAGTTCGATATCAATTCGCGCAACTTCGTTTGCGTGGCACTTTATTGCAAACGTAAAGCACGTTTGGCAAGAGACGAAATATTGTTATTTAATATTATCCTCACGTATTTTTTCGCGGACGCATATAGAAAGGCAGAACGGCGACGTCTGGCTTTTTCATTTGTAGCAATTATAAGAAAACGAAACGTGAAATTATTTACTCATACAAAATACCAAGCTATACCATTCATTTTTATATAGTGTAAAACTTCAATTGCAGGATGATACATTTATCTAGTAATAAATAAAGATTTGCTCTCTATTTTTATGTAAACTGATTACAACGACAAAGAGATAATATCAGGTTCGTCAGAAAATACCTTGATATGAAAAATTATTTGTGTAGCTTTGGTGTTTTCATGTATATTAACATTTGGACGTAATGTTATCGCTGACTTTCTTATTTCTTTTTTAGGAAACAATGGAGAAGAACATAGGTTTTGGCGCGGCCAGCGCCCAACCTTCGGCCCCTCTACCAACGGCTCCTCCATCTTACGAGGAAGCCATAGCTACCGCAGGAGGAGCACCTACGCACCCTCCTTCTGTTGTTCCCACGCCGTATCCCCTGGGAAACGCGCCAGTACAAATGCCCATGCCATGTACGTGAATAATATAAAATTAAGTTGAACTGTAAAACGTTTTAAGACTCGCAGTAAAATTGTAGGAAAATGTCTATAAATTTGAGAATTAGTTACTCCGTTTTTTCTATATTTTTTTTATGTATAAGTTGATTTCAATTCGTATTTTCGATGATGAAAGTAGAGCAATATGTGTGTATTGAATAGAATAAATCTTATATACATCTTATACAATTTCAGACAATCAGCCACCAAATCGAACGACGATGCATACGCCGCCAGTTTATCCGGGCTCGAGTCATACAACATCTCAGCCACATTTTAATGCAGAGAATTCTGGACCGCAGACGGAAGTACGGGTCATGCAGCACCGTATAGTGTACGCCTTAGGGCCAAATGCAGTGAAAATGTCCTGTCCGACGTGTCGCGCCGATATCAAAACTACCACAATAGCGGATCATCAGCCGAGTGCTCACATTTGCTGCATCGTACTCTGTTTACTCGGGTGAGCAATAAAACATGATGCACATACTTGTATAATTCGCGTCTACTGTAGCTTTTTATTCCTTTGACTAAATTAATGTACCCAGTTTTCTTAAATTTATTTCTTTAGAAATATATATAAGGATCTACAATTATTTTTGAATACTTCTTGCTGAAATGCAAATTATCATTTTTAAATAGGTACTTAATTGTTAATTTGTACGTATATAATTTGTCACAAAATGCAATTGCACTTGTGATGCTAGAAATGTGCATTTGCAATATAACGTTATTTGTTATGTGAATCGAATATGATATAAGCGATAACTTATCACCAATTTTCTTACAAATACCTTTGATCTCTTTTGTTTCAGATGCTGCCTGTGTTCATGTCTGCCATATTGCATGAACGTTTTTATGAGTGTTCATCACTTCTGTCCAAGGTGCAAAAATTACATTGGCACGTGGAAAGGTTGATTTTAAGATTACGCGCGCGCACACCTAAAAGTTCCAACCTCTGGCGTACCGAGAGATTCTACAATTCTATAAAGAGCTGCTCGATATCCTACGCATATGTGTTTATCGCACATTAAAGACTACAAAAAAGAAGGATTACTAAGAACGTAAGTTACATATTACATGCTTGATTCTTCAGACTTGATAAGATCATTGCGTTACAATTCAATGATTTATCAAATTCAAGTCCTGGTTGATCTAACAGTGTTGTGAATTATGAATGTAGACGATACTGGGTATATAAACTCTAGATCGTATGACATTTGGCAGTGACACTGATATTACAGACTTTTATATAATAATGTACTAGATTGTTACAATGTGCAATTGTGAAGCTAGAAGTGATATAAAGTGTGATTATAAAGAAAGGGTTGCAGGTATATTTTGCAAAAACAGATCACATTCTTATTTATATATTATGTACAAGGAAATTGGTTTATCAATTTTTGCGAAAAATTTTGATTTAATTTTCTGCACATCCATTATCTTTTCACTCAATTCTTTTTAGTATATAGTATTTAATGTTTTGATAGTTTTTAGTAATTAAATTTGTGTGGTTTCTTGTTGAAACTCACTTAAATGAAGCGTAAAATTTTATTTTAAAATATCATTAACGATCTAGTATATTGTATAGAAGTCTCATTGCAATTCTTAGAATTTCAGTAAAATAAAAACAATATGGACGATTTAAGCGCTGAAAAGTGGGACACGAGAATTCTTTTGGACACTTTCATTGCTTTGCGTTAAACAGAAATTTAAATCGTACATGTCTGGAGAATATTCTTTAAGTAGTCATTTTTACATGCTTAGTAAGTTCAATTATATTATTTCTTATGATATTTATGACTACACGCCAAGTAGAGAACAGAAAATAACGTGAACCATGAAAGCTGCCTATCTTGTGTCCAAAGTAATACCATCGTGTATTTTTATTTTTGTATTGCTAGATACAGCTCCGCGAAGAATAGCATCTACAAAGAGTATAATTTTCTCTCTATAAAACTTGATATACGCGGGCACAAGTATGTATATCGAAACGTGCCTCCGCGAATTTAGTTGAATATATGTATATTATATAAGTGTATTATAAAAAAAGAACATATATTTTTGCGTACAATGACAGAGGATTTGCAAACGTCTAGCGTATGATAAGAGTGTACAAGTTATTTTCAATTTTATTGAACAGTTATTTATATTCATGCATACAATATTATTGAAATACAACTGATAAGCACTAGGGCAGCAGAAGAGAGATTTTTTTTTAAAGAAAGAGAAGAGAGTAGTTTCGAGTCTTGCGGCATTATAATCCGTATTGTATTCCGTACTCTCTTTATCCCAAGTTAGATTGAGAAGTATCGTACTTGGATAATCTAATATTTCTCGGTGCCGGACCAAACTTTCTCTGGCTTATGTTATTTAAGTTTTAGTAGCTATTCCATCAAGTTGTATCAAAAGATGTACGAGTTCTCAAACTTCCCCATCTTACGTCTCCTTACGATACTTGAGAAATCCTAGTAGTCTTCCATGCTCTGCTGAAATATCGTCTTTCATCAACCTTTAACTACCTTCAGCCTTTCAAAGGGTTATTATATAATTCCATTTTCATATTGACAGATTTCTTCACACTTCCTTGAGAACTTTTTTTATGTTCTTCACTCCCATCTACTCTCGCATTAACAAGATGCATCTCGCGTTTGAGATAGCTGAAATCAATGAGTAAGATTTTTTTTTATGTATTTTTCTCTATCTCTTACGTTTCCTTTTCTCCATTTGCCTCATTTATCGATTGTATTTAGATTTAAGAATAATTATCGGTTCTACAAGATTGCAAGCTGTATATGTTTTGATAAGTTTTTTATAGTTTAATATTCCAACTGCAACGAGATAATGATATATTCTTGATAATTCTTCTTGTGCGAGGACTGGAAATATAAGTCTATAATTTAATTTGGTTCTAATAATAATATGATTATATTTATATTAAGACTGCAGATATACTGTATAGACGAATTTATAATAGCGCAAAGTCTTAACGTCAAGTATAATGAAGAAAGCACTTGTTGATTACAAATTTCGTCATCCATGATAAGTTGAATAAGTAAAAAAGATTGATATATGTATTGTTCTTATTTTATACTTGACATAATTCTGTCACCAGATAGCTGAGCAAACAACATTCCACAACGAGCGAATTTGATGAAGAGTTAAAAAATATATAGCAGTATTTCTCAATCACTTGAATTTATCATTTTATCTGTTACTTCTCCAAAGTTTTGCAGCCATAAAACGGGAAATCTGATTGTCGAGCAGTATTAAATTAATATTACGCTTTAGCATTATATCAGGATAGCATTAAGTTTTCTAGCAACGCATCTTTTGTTAAATATACTTGATAAGTTCTTTAAGATTATTTTCGAGCGACAACGTTTGTAAATATTAAAGTGAGCAATGCTTTGTTAATTGAGGAACACTGCTTTGTAGAAGATTACAAACTAAGAAATAGATATAGAACTTACATAGTACTGTTTATATCCATTTCTCTGTTATTTTCATAATAATGATCGTTGATAACTTTATATTTAGTTAAATTAACAACCAATGACTGCAGTTCATACACAGTTACGGGCGAATTATTTAATTAAATTTATGTTCCAATTCATCAAGTTTAGCTGACTATTTTTTATCTACCAAATAATGTCCTTTTTTATTTTACAGTTTCAGAGTTTCAGAGAAACAGAATCCTATAATTTTAGATAAATTATATATTACATAATGGCTTTAAAAAAAGATTTCATATGATGCAATTTGTATAGCATTATATTCTTTTCTCTAATTTTAGGATATATTGTATTCTTACTGAATTACTTGGTATTAATTGATAGCTTACATCTTATTATTTGTTACACTAATGATGCATTTGTTAAGAATATGTATCTTCTATAGTGCCAGAGGATGAGAGCAGTAAATAGCACAGTAGTACAGTAAAAGTAAATTATTTTGATAATTTCTTGCTTATTTAGTGTGTCTTATACGAAGATTTTTTTACTTTAAAGTAATGTTGTACTGGAAAATAGCTGAGAATCCACAAGAAATGTTTGCCAACGTGAAAAGTGAACAAAGATTTTTAATTTGGCCAAGAAATGTAAGATAGAATAGTAATAATGGAACAATTTTTCGTTCCTTTTCCTCCAATGAAATAATTGATATGTTTGTAAACCTCTTTGCTGCAGATCTGCAACATCAAACTTCTCATCCTTTTTTTTCTTTTTCTAAATTCTCCTTTTTAAATTTATCGTATCAATTAATAACTTTACGTCTTAGGTTTGGTCTTGTAATGGAACAACTCAGGAAGCCTTGTTGTCCTAAATGTACCCGCTTCCCTCGTGTACAATATTATGCTTCTTAATTAATCCTTATTCCTGTAACTTCTTTTCAACCCATTTGTTAATGAGCTTTATTATAACATTTCTGTAAAGTTTCAAATTAAATTTTTTTTACTGAACATTTCTTGTTAGTGCAGTTCTAAAATATAAATCTAGAAGTCGAATGTTTTTACAAATGAGTATTTTTCTGGTTATTTAATTATATAATTAAACAAATAATTCTTAAGTAGAAAATTAAATAACCAGAACTATAGTTCTGGTTATAAGAGCGTTCAATTTCCAAAGATTTATATTGAATTTTTATTACATAAGATCACGATTTTTGGTAAGGACATTAATTAAATCATGATCTTTTGTCAACGTACTGTGTTGATTAAATAATGATTTTTATTAATTTAATATATAATAACTTTGACTTTTTTTATGTGTTCTTTAGTATTAATCGGTGTAACATATATCTGCGTTCGTTATTGCCTGAAATCTTTCTGTTCTAATACTTCCTCCATTTACCTCATAAACAGGTATATATTATTTTATATTCAGGCATTAAGGTACTAAACTAGTCTACGTAGAAATGTATTTTGTCCCGTCTACTTTCCGTTTGTCTCACACGTATTTACGCTGGTATTGTATCATACAACTTTTGTAATATATATGAAATAATAAAATGTATATTCAGTTAAGCGTGTCCGTATTTCCGTAAGGTAGACACATCGCACGTCCGTACATTTGGTATAAGAAAAAGACTTGAATAACTTTTGATTTTTAAAATTTTTATTTTTGCTTTTAATGCGTACATCAGTATATCGAACAAACTCGAGTATATATGTGTGTTCTCGTAATGAAAAAAGTTCTGTTTATAATTTATCGAAAAACTACGCTACGTATATGAATCGATTGCTCTTCGGGAAGATATTAATTGGAGCATGAAACTTGTCCTATATATAGTAAGATTTTGGTGTGCGGATAAGATACCACCGTTATTATATATCGTCTGTGTAACCAACGTTACCAAAAGTTTTACAAATGATACCTATCGCGAATCGCCTTCTGCTGTAACGTTGCCAACATCAATAGACGTTATCAAAGAACGAGTCGCGCACTATTTGCGCGTACAATAGTAGATACAAATACAATTTGTTTCGGGAATATAATCGTGTTGTAATCGCTCACAAGGCAAGCCAGCGAATTGTCTGTTTCGGAATTAAATCACGTTTATATCGTTAGGCCAGTTCCTAGAACCGAATAGACTACCGTTGTAATTCTAATCCATACATATGTCTTACAATCGAGGATCGTTAATTTATCTAGATATATAATTTGAATGTTTGAGTACGAATCGTAATATAATGAACGATCGCGAACTGCGTTTCGCGTTTGGAGATGTTTCTTCGGTTCCACGGCCATGACCTATCACAACTTTGCTGTATTCGGAAAGACATTTCGCCGCTTCCCTTCATGTTGATAGTACATTAGAAACATATCGCGCGTGCCCTAACGAATACGCCTACGACACGATAGTCTTCAGCAGCTCCTGACCCTGTCCGTGTGGCAGGAATTGCTGTTGAGCAACAGAAGAATATTCCATATCGATTGGTTTCGTGTCGTCGTAGAGCGCCGGTGCCTCGCATAGAATTATGAAGGTTCCGGCTACTGAAGCTATCGTGAACATCCACAGGAAGAGGCGATCGAGAACCATCGCGACGAAGCCCCAATCTTGATCCTCCTGCGATGACATAACGGAGAATAGTAATTAATATACAGAAGGATATATTTAAATGAGTTTGTGGAAATATCGATTGTCAGGAGCAATGATTTTGCACCAATATTTCCTCTATTAACATTGGTTCTTTTAGTTACGTAAACACGTTGATTTTTTATCGGTGATATTTTCATGTTTTTGAAAGCAACAGAAAGTATTATGTGAAATATTGAAGGTCTTCTTTCGGGTGGTTGCATTGTTGTTACCGGATTTCTGAAAGTATGCTTACTGCATTGAATTCGTCCTGACGTTGTATGTGGTGCTGGATGAACATGACGTTGTGCAAAGCCTTTTCTAGCTCGAAGGGATATTTCTTCCTTTGCGTTACATCGCTCAATGACTCGTCAAGCCCGGACATGACCGTTGGAAGTCCATTGTATCCTAAACTGCCGACTAGGAATCGATTGTGGGCAGTTGTCCTGTGCAAACCGTTGCAGCCTGAAATAGCGATAGCCTGTATAATCGTTTCTTTCCTATATACGACGTGGAGAAATACATCAACACCTCCTTATTGCACTTGTAACATTTTCCGTCTAATATTGCGCGAATAATTTTCATTAATATATTGAAAAATATAAAACGCGCAATATAAATGATAAAGATCCACTTTAGAAGGATCGTACCATCGATTCGTTGATGACGAGCAGAATCCGGCGACGATACTATCGACGATGATTGCACCGCAGCGGCGATGGCAGCATTAAACTTGCTTTTCTTTCCCGATTTTCCTCTTCCGTGTATCTTGTGCGCGGCGAGATCGTTGAGAAGATCGTCGGGCACCCTCATCAGAAGCAGCTTCGGTAATCTTCTGATGAAGACCCTTCTCACCCAAGGTGCCATCTTATGGGTGCTCGGTTTGCGGTAGTGCACGTTCAGAATAATGATCGTTATCACGACCGAAAGTCCGACTAGGATCATCGTGAAGAGTAGATACTTGCCGAGTAATGGTAGCGCCAGCGACGTGGATGGTATAATCTCGGATATCAGTAGGAAGAACATGGTCTGAGATAGCAAGATATTGATGCAGAGCGCGATCTTCTCTCCGGAATCGGCTGGCAAATAGAAGGCCAGGACCGACAGGTAAGAGATGCTGACGCACGGCACTATGAGATTCACCGTGTAGAACAGCGTTTTCCGACGCAAAGTTATGTTGAAGAAAATATCGGGATACGGCTCGACGCAACATGGATAGTACTTTTTGTGCCGCTCCGCCGGAACACCCAATATATCCCATTCCACACTCGGATAATATTCTCGCAGGTCAATGCCTACTTCGACCTTGTCGCCCACATTTTGATTAATGTGCTTTAAGTCGATCTGAGGAAGATATTTTTCAATGAGTGACGCACAAGAGACTGCATTTTTTTATCAATGGAAAAATAATTAACCAAGGACATCGAGACTGCGCGGCCATCGGTGCGCGAGTTAATGGAAAGACAATATTTGTTATTGACAATACATAATTATAAATTTGGACTTGTAATTTCGGCTCCACTTTGAGTCATCTTCATTAATTTTTTAATTGATATGTTATGTTTTCCAAGACACATAGCGTTAATGATTATTCCGTAACACGCACAGCAATATTGTTTGTACAATTGCATGTATAGTGTATGTACGTAATCCGTGCGAATCTATGCGATTGCAAATATCTTGTGTTTTATACGCGGTAAGATTAGCCAGTGATCCGATTAACAATTTTATAATTACCCTGTATCAAGATAATAAGATTCACTTACTTGGAAGCCGTCGTACGTCCACGAGCCGAATTTCATGAAACAGGTTTGCTGATCGAAGGGAAAGTATCTAACGTCTATTTCGCAGGAGGATTTAAAAATTGCCGGAGGAGTCCAAAGCACCTTGCCGGTGTAATGCAGAATGGCCTTGGTCATTGTTGTCACGCCGTACTCTCCGTCCGCGCTGAAAATAAGGCTCGTTCTTTCAAATTGATGCGCTTGTAAATTTTTAACGCGGACATAATTCACAATATTCGGATGGAGAATCAATAAAGCTAGGAATGCAATTTGCAGTACATCACCGCTTATATTTTCAGATCGCGATAATCGTAAAGGGGATAAAGAGATACGAGAGAGCACGCGGTATCACGTACTTGTTATAAAGTACAATGTCGGGCAGCCATATATGCTCGCTGGGCACGTAGAGTTCAGTGACACCTCCGTATTCCAAGGGCTCCCACTGGAATTTATGATCCTGCCATTCCTGAAATTATTAATTCCGTTTCGGTCATGTTGATTTTTTCACTCGCACTCTCGACAGCAATCATAAATTGCCGATACTTTTTTGTCACGTAACTCAACACTTACGTGTTCCAACCAGACGTTCGTCGTTAGGATTTGATCTTTTAAATTCTGTAAGTGATAAACAGGTTTTATTAAAAGCGTGCGGAAGGTTCCTAGAGGGATACTACAGTTGTATACATAATTTATGTACATGTTGCATATTAGGTTATTAATGTTATTATAAATTATAACTAGTGAGCTCATACTTGGCGAGAGACACTACCGTGTCTCGTGATTTTCGATAACGGCACAATCGTATTTGTTTCGTAAACTGTATGCACTACGTACGAGGTCTATCAGCTGCGAGAGACGAAGTCCTAGTTTCACAATAACAGTGTCAGTATTGTTGGATACAGGTCGAATCAGCCGATTATAATTTGAGAGCAGGTCATCGTAAAGTCTCTTAGCGTCTGGATTGCTGTAGCAGATCCCCACCGAGAGGATCAGGATGATTAAAGGGAACATCATTTTGCCTTGCGATCAAACGTTCGATTAAGCAAGGCTCGTCAAAAGTATCCTGCGCAGAAATATTAATAAACTGACATGCGGCTACTCGACTTGTTTCATCCGTAGATTTATGAAAGATCCGACAACTTGATTATCTTAAAAATGGCCAGACTTAATATTCTGAAAATGATACGTGTTTATATTATAAATATTTATTACAATAACGCATCTCTTCTATTTTAGCTTTTCTTGCTGCATATTTTCAAAACTGTACTCTATAAATTGACATAAAACGATTTGTTACCTAAAAAGTAAGCAAAATATTAAATGAAAAATTTCATAGTCGGGTTTACTTTGTACTTGTAATGTTTTTTTTATTTAGCTGTCGTTATGACTTTTCAAGCTTGTCTCTGACAGAGGCGACGTTTTAATTTAATTAGCATTTACAACGCTATGTCGATGGCTTAACTGAGCTTTGCGAGTTGTTAGTTGTAGAATTATGAACCTGTTGCATTAAGCACAGCCATCTGTCCGTATTAATTTTTACGAAAAGTATATTAGTGTGTCAAACCTTTATCGAGATATTAACAAAATGAAGTTTGCAAGCTTATCGATAACGGATGTAAGCTCATAATAATTTCGTATCCCGGAGTATTCGAGCAGCACAATTTTCTCCTATTAGAGACACAAAATAAATATATAACACAGATCGTATTAACACTTATCGTGTTGGAAAAATTGTAGATGTTACACAAATACATTCGCCAGTATAAAGTTTAAAAAGTACATTACTTGTACAAAGTGATACCATGAAAAATATTTAGCACAATACCGTGATTTCTCTCTCTCGCAACATTTTAACATAAACTCGAATCGTCCTATCCGCGCGCAATCGCACCTACAATTATTTCCACAGGGAAGTGTATTCTGAAACGAAAACTATCTCGAAAACTGCTTACTGCGTCTATATTTTCACAGCGGTTATTGATTTTTGTTCACTGAAACAACTATTTATGAGTATCGTAGCCGGACCACGTATATGTGTATCGAGCGTAATCTGAACGGTCGTGGCATACTTGCGCTTCGGCCTCCTTCGGATTCCTCATTACCCGTTCTCTAAATACGGCGGCTTTTATCCCGTGCCCTTCTTGCGTATCATAATCTGCCGCGAATCTGGGATAGGTTCGATCTCCGGTGCGCGCTTATCAATCGGCGATACCCCGGGCGGACCTCGGTCCGGCTCTCATTACTCGCGCGGATCGTTCCGCTCGCGAAACGCCGGAAGAACGTCGAGCAGAAATGACATTGTGTACAGCCGCTGGACCACTGGGATGCTGGTACGTGCATCTGAAATTCGCAGGATCAATACATCATTGCGCATGTACCAGCGTGGTCCGTTCTGCCTCTGCGCGCCGCGAGGGCACCCTCGTCGGCGCAAACTCGTCGATTTCCACTGCGTCGCCTCTCGCAGTGGAGAAAGACGGACGCGTCGACCGGGCCTCGGCGTACTTTCCTGGGCGTACTACGCCCTTTTCCCGGCCGATGTCACAGCTCTCATGTTTGCATTGCTTTTTGTTTCACGTCTATTTACCGAGAGGACGTTACAGCGGGCGTTTACTTGACGGGGAAACTATGCTCCACGAGAAAACGAGAGAATTATGTTTCGTCATTTCGCTAATTTGATTTTTATGAAGAAGGAATTTATTTCCGCGGTAATTCTACTTTTGGTAATTCAATTACCCCGTTGCCTTCGCGGCTGTTTCCTTTTCTTTTTAAGCTCGATGGTAAACCGGCTTATTTTCTCGAGTATCGCAATCCACTGCGGAGCGTCAGGGTCACTGGTAGTTAGTCTCCTTTCCTGCATGCCCCCGTGTACATACATACGTGTGTGCGTGGCTGTGTGCATTATATATACATTTACATTCCACTTTGCGATCTTTCTTATTTGCGCACGTTAACAGTGTTTTAAATTGTCCGTGACGTTCAAATATGACTACTCCCACTTTCCCGTTATATAATTTTCTAAAATTTACTCTGCTCGCGGAGTAAGTACCCTTAGGCGTGGATTTCTCAAGTAAATGGGACGGGGAGACGGAACGATAATTTCCTCGTCGCAAACCACAATTTGCGGGATACCTTTACGGTATCTCGTGACCGATCGATTAATTACGATCTTTAATAACCGACGGATTACTAACGGCAACAAAGGATAGGTCACTGGCTTGCGCTTTCGCGCGATCTTTACGTAATGAAATCATTGCGTCGAGTGCACCCGCGCCGCCAGACATTTAGCATACTTTTTTATGGCGAGAGGCGGAGAGACACTGTACATTACAGCACTTTATTCTTATGCGTAGGCCATTCTCCTGCGCTACCTCCCGCATCCGCCTCGCGCTATTCCGCTTCTCGGAGCTCCATGATAAACGTGACTGTTTTTCCGCATTTCCCTCCTCTCTCGCCCCTCCGTTTACCGTCGGGGAACCACCGGCGAGAGAAACTGGTAACCGCCGCTCTCGAGAGTACAACGTCTTGGAGTCGGATAGAGTCGCGCGTACGTGTCCCGTACTTGCACCGACGGATGTACGGCGTGGACCGCGTCGAACGATCTCGCGGGATGCTGCGTCCACATGTAGAGGGACTTGTACGGTGAATTCGTAAGCCCTCACCATCCGCCCATGCTTCTCACGATTGCTGTCGCGTTACGCACTTGCGACGTGTCCGTCGTTCACGCGCGAATCTTGCGATTTAAATGTTTGGTCGACGTCGCCCGACTACTCCGAGCACTCCCGTTGCCCGGGGGAGCGCCCAAAATTGCGCCATTTACTCCGCTCGCTCCTTAATTGCGGCAAAGTTCAGTCGAGCGTGTTTGAAGTTTCCGACGACGACGACGGCGGCGGCGGCGGCGATCGGTTTTGTTCTTCCGCGTGTGTAACGGAAGACAGTTACCCGATGTTCGGCAAACTGCTCCTCTCGGTTCAAGCGAGGACCTCGCCCGCAGGGCCTTTACCCCTTTATCCCTTATACCGCGCCGCGAATTATTAATCGGGAACTAATCGTTGCGTAGAATCTGGCGTCGGGCAGAAACGGTCTTCCTTAATCACGGCGCAAAGTTGTACCGGCGTGTTTGAAATTTCCGACGTCCAAGCACCGTGGCGAACGAAGATAGGATAGGTGGACCGTGAGAAAACGCGAGAGGGAGGAGACGGGAGGGCGCGATACGAGGGTACGGAGGGAGAGAGAGTCGGCGCGCAATCTGGACATAATCGCAGGCTGGCAGAGACGGTTACGTCGGGGATGGTTGGTCTTCAGGACGTGGCGGGTAATTAATGTGGCCTCACGCATCGGACGATCTCCTCGCCCTCGTGCCGCGATCCGCTCTCGCCACTCCTGCCCCTGTTTCACCCCCTCCGCGGCGTCGCACCGGGGGAAAACTTTCGGGGCCGCGAGATAAGCCGAAACCCCATTATAGTTCGCTGTTAGATTCTCCCGTTGTGGTCCCCGAACAGTCAGCAGCGAGATCTCCGCTCTATCTCCGTTTCAACGACTGTTCGTATCCGCCGTTCGCCGACCCTGCTCTTCGGGGGGTCCACCTTTAACCCCAAGATAATGGGGCTGGAGCGGCGTTGGAAATTAAATGGCTGTTTAAATGACTGTTTGCTCGCTCGCTCTGTAAATTATGGCGACCCCTTTCGGGGGCACCCGTTGCTGTATATACCGTGTACCGGTGGCGTTCAGAAGGTACGACGACGCCGTCACGTATTACGCCTGGCTGATTATTGTGCAACGTGCGTTAAAATAGCGTCTTCATGCCCTTCTTCTGTACGATGTGCAATGTGTGTCACGCGCCGATATTTTTATTCATTTCTTTGCGCAGTCGATTAGCTCTCTTTCTGTTCGATGTTGAATTTGCAACCGGGGAGTATAATTATCCGTCCCTCGCGCGCCGATGTTCGCATATTAACGAGGAAAACAGGGTATCGTTGACTCTTACAGTCGTCGATGCTTTCCCCGACGCGGGAGACTCTCGTTTGTGCAACCGGTGGATGAAATTCAGATTTCGAACGTGACAAATTCGACTATAATCGAAGTATACACTTCGCGCGCGAATGCGATCGAGTTCAAGAAATATATCGTCGCGCCAAGTACTTTCGAGAAACGCGCATGAAACTGTCGTGAGATCGGAATTGGGTACGCGGGAAGAAACATAAACGCCTTTACGTTCTTATTGCGAATAGTCGTGCAGTTTCGCAGTGGTAGTATCGAGCATTTAGCTGCCGTCAAAAACAGGCCAACGGCAATAGCCGCTTGCCCGAGACGCTTGTGCGGCATTCGCTTACACCTTCCCAGCTTTATTATGCATACTTTGCTCACGACGGCGACACACCGTGCAGATATCGGCGAGTATTAACGCCGTGCTATCCGGAAATTGAAACTGCAGGACCTCGTGTCGTTCAATACCGAATGGGGGCAACTACCCTCAGGTAGTTACTTCTACTTAATGCCGACACCCTTGCGCGACATTCCAGGTTTCCAGCTTAAATCCAGTAGGCATATTACACTTGAATTGGCGAGAAATCAATGTGAATATTGTAAAGCGTTAAAATTTCGAAATAACGACCTGGCGCGCGTGCTTTGTTGACGTTCTTCTTTTTGGGGGGGCGATACGTTGCTTCGCACGCGAAGCCTACGAAGCGGATCAGTCTGTTTGTGACTTTCGACCGGGCAAGTGGCGAAGCGAGTCGTCCCGCGTCGTGGTAAATATGGTACTTTTCAAAGCGTGATCGTTACGAGTAAATAAGGAAGACGCTCAACGCGATTATTCCGTCCAATTGTTAGAATTCGTGACTATCACTCGGCGCGTAATTGTCGCAATTAGTAACTCGTAGATGAATGGAGGTGACGGATCTACATTTGTCGAAACGGATTTCCAATTTATTTATTAAAGGAAGAAATTATGATAAAACGCGCGAATTATTAAGTGTTGTTTCGCCGCGAGAGTTTTCCGCCCCCCCTCTCTCTCGCTCGCTCTCGCTCTCGCTCTCGCTCTCTTTCTCGGCACTCTCGTATTTCCTCTTCGACGTATTTGTTTTTTAAATCCATTATAAGATCGCGAGGTTGCTCCGCTTTTACCGCATTACGTATGTATCTGAGAAACGGAAAAATGCAAACTATTTTTGAAAAAAGAAGTTTGCAGAGGTCCAGAATATACGATGGATGAGTCGTAGTCAAATTTACTTTCGAAATTTATTAGAGGATAGACAGGAAGATAAACTCAGTTCGATTAAAACTTGTAACGCACCGCACATAAGATGGATCTTTTCTTCAAATAATAATTATTTTATAAATTAATATTCATTTTTCAGCAGAGATCAGTAGCAGTTTTCCACTTAAAAAACCGTTTAATTGATATTAACATGTTATTACTTTTAGCAAATTTATTGGACGCAGATTATTTGATTTTTAGAAAATAAAATTTGAACAATTAATTTACCGTTCTTTAAAAAATGCGGAAGCCCAACGGAAAATTTAAGTTTAAGAAATAGTATTATATTTATCTCCGTTTTAAAAATATTGATATCGATCGTTGTTACTTTGTTCTTAAAAATTTTTATACTTCGAGAAAGGTAAAGGTGATTTTATCAATTCAAGAAAAGAAATAATTCGCTTCATCTGTAGCTGAGACGCCTGGCGTCCGTTTCTTTCTTTATCTGCAACACGTCGTGCAAAATATTTCGTCATTGCCGTTCGCGCGGTCTTCGATAGCTACACATCGACTGTCCCTTTCGCAAAGTCGACGCTCGATTTTGCACAATTGCCGGTTTTCTGTTTAAACGCTCATTTAGTTTTCGTGGCGTGTCAGTTGTTACAATTTAAATTGTTTAAAGGAATTCAAGTGATATAGAGTGGAAGGGATGATAAAATAATAAATTATCATTTTGTATTTTCGAACGGTCAATCGTGGCGCCAATCAGTCGCCGATGTGACTCGCGTGGTGTCGCATGACACCGTAATGAAGTTGGCAGCGCCGCGTCACTCTCGAATCTTCCGCCGTCGCGAACGGGACATCGCGGACGCTCGTCGCAGCCTTTAATCGGTAAGCGCGACCGTTACAAGCAATTCGCGCTCGTGCTTAGTATTTGGCGACATCACGCGACGTGGATTCAATCCCGGTGACTTCGGAAAGTGAGTATTTCGCGAGATACGCTCGATCGGAATCTGTCGAGCAACCAGAGAAAGAGAGAGAGAGAGAGGGAGAGGGAGAGAGCGCGCGGCTCGTGCTTCCCGAGCATCGCGCGCGTTCCCGCGCGAACGTTTATTCTCGGCCTTAACTCATCACGTTCCATCCACCAAGTTCC